GTCAAGGAGTCCCATACTAGGGGAAGAAACGGCCATCCAGCGCTTCCAGGTTTTCCATGGTGGTCTAGCTTCAAATGACTCACGATTTCAATCAGTGAAATAATATAATAAATGAGAAATTTTCGCATTTTCTTTATTACTTTCTTTTTATTAGATATGAAGCAAGTTCAATTCAAATAGTCAAATCAATCCATAATAATTCTTTGGATGCATGGTCAAATAATGATTCACCTATTCTGACAGAATTTTTCAAATTAATGACTACAAATAGTTCACTTTTAAAAGTATTAGGTTATGTAAGTGATGAAATTCCACCAAACTATAAAAATCTATGCAACAGTTAAGTGTTGTCACTGTAAAGAAGTTTGTTTGTTTTCACACAGACATGAATATATTTTTTTAAATTTGGCTTTCTTTTACAAATTGTAATGATGAACAGTTTTCAATTGTTTTTATTTTTGAATCCTTCATAGTAACAATTTTTCATTGTATCTGTTTAATTTAATTTTTTTTTAATGGTATGCTTTTTTGTTGGTGAAATGAAATAGTCACTGTAGTAACAATATTTTCTTTAAAAATCAATCGATAATATTTTTTTAATAGTTGAATTCATGAGTCGATAGAAGCTAGACCACTATGAACAATCTGGAAGTACTGGATGGCCGTTTAGTCCTAATATTCGACTCTTCAACAGTGTACATCTATGATACAGCCCCGTGAGATTTGAACCCAGAAGCTATCGGTCTTGCGCGCTCAGTGGTTTAGAGGTTAAACCTTCGTGAGTGAAACCGATAGGTTCTGGATTCGAATCTCGTGAGCAGGATAATGAATGCACACTTCTGAGGAGTCTCATACTAGGACGGAACGGAAAGACATTCATAAATTAGTATTGTATGAATCAAAAGACAATTAACTATACAACCAAAAATAATAATTAGCTAATTGGTTCTATATAATTCAGAATTATTAACTATAACGTATAAAGTGTACATGGATTTATATTATTTAAATTTGCTCATTTATAAGTGAAGTTTGAAAGTTGGTCTTCATTTCAAAGATCCAAAAATGTTTTGAATGATACACGCTCATTTGAAATAAATTCTGTTATATGATTTTATTGAGTGTAGTGATTCAGTATAAACTTCAGTAACCTTTAAACCAAGATGATATAAGTATAGTAATATATTCTAAGATTAATAAGTACAGTACTCATGCCAGATTATAGAAATGACCAACTTGATATAGGTAGTAATAATAAATGTGGATGGCATTCGAACTATTGGACTGTTTAACGTGTTCTACTTCAAAAATTGTTTAGGTACTACGTTCTTCACATGTTTTATGGAAATGAAAACGTGAGCTTGGAAAATTTAATTCTTTTTGTGTGGACGTCCAACCAATGTATGGACGGTGTATTAAAGTCATTTCCTGAGCCATAACGAATTAATTAGAATAATCTGTAACTAGCGAAAATAAAACGAAAAAAAGAGCACTGAAGAACAAAGCAATAATTACTAAAATATGTCAGTCAGATCTACCGTAATACATGTGTCAGGTGATTCAATGATATAATGTTCATGTTAGATATTATTCAAAATCAGCTAAGGTTACCATAGACGGTGTCAGTATAAAGCATCAGCAGGTGGGGGACTTTAGTTGTTGGTCTCATTAATAGAAAAGATTGAACATTTAAAGAGGGAAGTAAGCATTGATGCTACAAACAAAGGGTGGGAGTGGTTTTATTTTGTGGACAAATTGTGGTAGGTTATTCCAGAGTGTGGAAAATAAGCTGATCATGTAATTCCTAAAGAGAGGAGATTTAGAATGAGAGTATTTCACCAATGACAAAGAGTTGCAGGTGCTGTAACTAGGAGTTTCTGCATACTGCATTGTTGCATTGGATATGAAGTAATTTGAAGAAGATTATATTTAGTTTTAGTCTCCTCTTTCATGAAGTATCAAATTCAATTCTAATACATCTGAACTTATAATTTAAGCTACAATCAATCGCTTGAATGATCAATTTAAATCATCTGTGAACGGATTCCAGCTTTAATTTATCCTTTATGCGAACAGCGCTAAGAATGAACGAACAGGATCTTAGAAGTGGTCGAACATCTACTTTGCAAATAAAAATATAGGACTAATTGTTGCAGAGGTTATAAAATATTAAACTCAGAAGTCACTGAGACTTGGAGGTCTGTTTTGAAAGCTGTTTTGAGAATGACAAATCGTAGGAATACCTGAGTTCTAGTCCACTCTTGTATGTAACTTGGACAACACCTTATTAATGGTAAGATTTAGGTTGAGTGAAGTATTGCCGAAACATATCCACCCACATTTTGGCGTGTTAATCTCCGACAGATATTTTGAGCACCACTGGGCTAAAATAGTAATGAAAAAAAAACTAAAGCGTGCAAGCAGATGGTATATATTATCGCGCCTTGTTGGGGTACGAACTAGTGTTACCAACAGCGTACATTAATTGTTTCTAAGATTTTATCATAACTCGATGAAGCACTACAGGTGTTCCAATTTATTTGAAGGTAACCTAAATATCTTGTAATAACTTTTGCATTGAAACTTACAGAAGATTCATGATATTATCCAGGAACTAGTGGTAGAATTTCAAACTATGATCTTCCGTAAATATTTTATCAAATAAACACTAAATAAATAATATTATAGACACTGAACAGTATTCGTCTATTCAAATAAAGATTTGGATCAGTTTTTGACCATTAAGAAAGAAAACGTAAAACTTTAAAACAATCCAAAGCAGCAAGACGACGTTAATCAATAAATTCTTCACTTGACATGAGTCATAAACATAGAAACTTCTGGTGGTTATTTTACTATGGCATCACTAGAGACAAATGTATTTGTTTAAAAACAGAACGACCACTCCAAGACCAATACAACTGTTTATTATATGAGTAGTTTAATTTTGATCAATTAGATAGAAGTCTTCTATTCGAAACTCAAACTAATAAACTAATGAAACATTTAATAATCAGATAATTACGAAATAAATAGATTGCATAATTTGCGCTAAACGAGAACCTTTTTATTCATCTATGTTGTGAGACTGGACCAAATATTATCCTGGGTTCTTTTTCTGTGACCTCATAATTATTATGTTCATTTAACACAGCATCGAAGTCACGGAAACAATACACTATGAAGGCAGTTACATTAAAAATAAACTGACTAATTTGAGAATAACGCTTACATTATTTCGTACTTTCGCCAGAACAACACACTTTTACAGGCATCTATGGTATTATTTATTGATACTAAAAATTAAAACAGTAGGTGTTGAAACTTCGCAAAAAGATTGCCATATTAGTTTTACTATGTAGTTGTTAAATGTTGGGAAAAAATTATTTTAGTAGTATAGATGGATTTTTGGAGATTTATATAGTTCACATCATTAACTAATCTTGGTTATGGCTACAGTGTAATCCAAAATCTCCCAGGTATTTGTTTCATCTTAGTATGAAACTCATTAACAAGTGGACTCAAGACGACAATGGATGCTGAATCCAAAATCTTTGATTTCTTGACAAGTTCTTAACCTCCATATCAGTGAATCATCGTTTAATGATGTGGATGTCTAACTTCAATCACTTTGCTGTATCCCGTAAGCATCCTCAGTGATAGGCTGGCTAAAATCAGTTCATGATGAAAACCATGAGAAATCCAATGATTTTCATCAACCTATGTGTGATAAAAATAGCACTCATGTGATCAGTGATGACCGATTTCATCACTATCTGTCTCGTTCAATTTAACAGTGTTTAGTTGGTAAATCTATTAGGATGTCAGTATTACGTATGTTGACATCAACACAATATCTAACGTCGTTTATCATATTTAGTTAGAATAGTTAGATGACGTCGTTGTTACATAATAGATTCTTTTACCACATGGAGAAGGGATAAAGTGATGGTACCTCCCATTAATGGCACTTATTTTAGACAATCCTAAAAGATATTTTTTTATTGCTTATTCTGATTATGTTTATGATACAAACGTCAGAGAGTAATTTGATGACAATTCTGTTTCACTCCTGAAAACAAAATAGTCACTAGCTAAAGTGAATTATCTTTAGTATTGATTAAGGATACACTATTGAAAAGGTTGTTTTTCATCAAACATTGTTATCCTTCTAAGTAGCCAAAGATGGTTTCTGAATTCGACTTGTTCAAAGATGAATATTTTAATCACAAAGTTCCATGTGAATTATATTGCTCAGAAAAAATGACGTTAAGAATCTCAGATAATTTTAAATCCCATTGTAAATGACTATATTATTATAGATGAGACATTCTTAAAATGTGGTTAGTTAATGATGCGACTAAAATAGAGAATGTCAAAATTCTCATTTTTTGAGAACTTGGTGAGCATATACATCAGTTTGTGAAGTGAGTTATTAACATTTATTTGAAGACGTTTATTCAACCAATGTTACACAAATGATGAAACGTCTCAGATGAACTTACTTTGTCTATGAGATTAAGAATAAAATAATTAATATCAGATGGGTTTTGTGGAAATTATAGTAATTTCAATGGTTACGATCATGAGTCAGTTGAAGCTAGACCACTATGGAAAACCTAGAAGGACTTGATGACCGTTTCGTCCTTAGCAGTGCGAATCCACAATACCGCACCCCCCCAGCGAGATTCGAACACAGGAACTATCAGTCTCGCGAGTAAGCGCTTAACCTCTAGACCACTGAATCGGCATCCAACGGTGTTATTATATCACTTCAACCAATCCACGAAATTGACCGGCACATTCATTACTGTGTTCAGTGAGTCCCACAATCGGACGAAACGGCCGTCCAATGCTTCCAGGTTTTCCATGGTGGTCTATCTTCAACTGACTCATGATCTTAACAACTGAAATTCAATACTTCTTGTTCAGAAAATAAAAGACATATTTCAATACAGAATGGATTCCCATCTACTTTTGATAAAGTCACATTGGAAGTATAAAACTTGACAAAAATTTTATTATTTCTATTACATACAACATTTGAAAAAGACATTTATAATACTTTTAGATATGTTTAAATCATTCTATTTTTTCTGTAAAGTTGATTTTGTTAAATTAATGATTCGTGTCGTTGTCTCATTAACTTTTTGCCATGATGATGTTGTTCTTGATTGATTATTTATAGATTTCATTGTTGTCTTTTTCATACACATACTTTCACAGGCTTCTTTAGTTTTAAATCTATTTTCATTTCCACCACATCCTTTATAAGTGAATGGTAGACATTTATTTTCAAGTGAATTATAATAGAAACGTGGTATATTTTGTAGACAATAACCTTTTTTCAATGGTAAAGCACATATTTCATCTGGAGTTTCTGAAGTAAATATTGAAAAAAAAGAAAGAGAATTCTTTACAATATTTGATAGTTTGTGGAAAACTATTCAGTATATGAATGATACGAAATGCTACAAACCTATTGGTTTCATATGAGCATGGAAACTAATGTAATCACATAATATGACATTAATTTAGTTTGATAGAGGTTTCCAGTTTGCTTCATCAAGTTCCTGATCAAAACTCTCCTTGTATCAGAATTATTATGATGTTGTAGATGATAGAAATAAATTCATCGCATAAGTAATTTTGTTTAGGAAGCCGGCAAACACTTGATATTACAAGTGAATTTAAGTTTTTCTCTATTCGAATCTTGTTCATCTAGTTGATGGAAAATCGTTTTATATCTATAAATAACTATGAATTATGTATAACATTTATCAGACATATTTTTCTCTTGAATGCTTCATAAATAAGAAATCTATGATGATTGTGGAGAAGTCTATTCAAAAATAATGGGTTGCACGATGGCATGAATTATCGTCATATGATTTCGAATATTACTCATAGCTTTTATTAGACGGTTTTATTTCACTACTTTATGTACAAGCTTGTCGTTCACCAACCAATTACATAACCTTTTTAATTGAAACTAAGTGGCCAAGATATTAACTAGCTATAAAAAACAACAGTCAGTGAAACTATAATTTGTGGACAACATTTGAGTGACACAAAACTGACCTTGAGAGTGTCCATCTAATGATTAGGACAAGATGAGGGTTATAAACCTTAGTGAGGAATTCGAATTATGATTTATAGTTGATGGTTAGGGTTAGGAATTAGATTTACTGTTTTACATCATGAACTGACGTCAGTTATAATGCTAAAATTCTATTTATCCAAATTTGTGAGTGAATTTTGTGCCAAAATCATATACCTGTTATCGTAATATCTTCTACAAATTATAGCCTCACTCCGTGGTCTATATTTTTCATTTGAATACATTCATAAAAATCTAATCATACTAAACACTATTCAATAAAGGGTTATTCTATTCAACAACATTTACAAACTATTATTAATTAAGACAATATCACAGTTAAACAAAGTCACTTACTTGGACGAGTTTTAGAATGAACAGTTCCGAAAATAATCACCAGAGGTATAAAAAGATAGATTTTTAGATTCATCTATTGTGATTATATTTCCGTCTTTAGTTGAATAACATCTCATGTAAAATAAAGTATACTTACAAAATGGTAAAATCACCTATGACTATTTATTTAGCTAATGAATATGATCTTACTAACAGGGGTCTTTATATGTTTTAAAATCTAATAGAACTTGTAGGTCACTCCCTATAGTTGAAATAATGTGAATTAACCCAGTTACAAGAATATCGGTTCTGTCCATTGATTTATGCTCAATTCTATTTGTTCTATTCAAAATAATCTTTTAATTCTCGAATACAATTTTTAGTCTATTAAAATGAACAATAAATCATTCATGGTAATTGTTTGAGACTCGTTAATAATTGTTGTCACGATAAGTCGTGAGAAATACTTTTGGTTTCAAATTCAAAGCTTATGATGAATTTCCGCGTGGAAGTGCACGGATAGTTCACTCTATTCCGGGACTGATACTAAAACAGTTGTCTAAGCAACTGAAACATCCTCTAACGAACTGAGATAACAAACTGTGTTTGGATGTCAAATTAATCAGTACCATATTTGACATATGTTTTAATGTTCGAGATACAATGCTAAATTTGTTGTTATTAATTAGTTTCTTAGTGTTTCTGTATTGCATTGAATTACGATCCATTCAGCTAACGTTGTCAGTGTAAGAGTTCCTACTTGTAGTAGTCGTTAGGGATTACTTATGTACCATACACAGTTATAAGCAAATCAGATATTGATAATATCCTGATTTTCTGTTTGTTTGTAATTCGAAAGCTTGTCTTTCATTCATAATTATTCACTGAACATGAAGTTGTTAACTTAGAATACCAACATTAGTTTTCTAAACAGTTTGACATTATGGTCGAAATTTCGATCCAACTATTGCAAACTGAACATGTGAACTGACATGATGCAAACTAAAATTTGTCACATTTGATTAGGTAGTTATATATTTACAACCAGTTAACTAACTGCCTCATGATAAATGACAAGAATATTTGTTTCTACATTTTAGAATTAGCTTCCATCATCACCTCTTTATTTCGATATTTCGATTTCTGAATAATCTGTTTATACTGCGACAACCCTTCATCTTGTACGACATCAAATTAAATATTTCGCCTTTCGTGGTTTTAAGATTTCTGATAATAAATAGTGACCAAGTGAACTACTCAATGAATGTGATTGACAGGTCAATGACGATAAGTATCGGAGACTAAATTCCCTTTGATTTCCACTATGGGATTTAATGTTTTAAAACAACCACTCGGGAAAACGCCTTACTGAACAAAACTTTAATCAATAAACAACAATTTACCTTAAAATTATAACGTGTGACGTTGTGACTGAATGATTGAAAACAGATCTGAGAGCAATAGGAAATACCTACCCAAGAAGATTACGAATGTCTTGAAAACGTTTAGTGTTTGTATCAGAAGGTGTCAAATTATGTAAGATCATACATAGTTATTTTGTAAAATTACAGTATATAATGGGAGAACTGCAAGACGTGACCAGAAATAAAATCCACTACAGTTTTTTAATACTGAGCCATATTTCAATCATGGTGAATAATTAGTAACAAGTATGCGCGAAAACTAAGTGAATGAAACACATTTTTCGCATGTAGTGCCCTAGACTACTTTATTGATTGACAAAGAACTAGCTAGTTAATAGTCTCTTGTTGATTTAGATTTTGCATAAGGTAGGGAAACGTAAACATGTCTAAAGCATTAAACTGAACTAATACATCAATTTGAGATCGATTGTAAGAGAAAAAATAAAACTGGGAAACATTATTCAAGAATATTTCTTTATCCCATTTAGAAAAACACGTTGATGACAGAAATTCGAGTGTAACATATCATTTTAAGTTTTCATGTCATGCCAGGAACCACTGAAATACAAGACTGAATAAACTGAGATTCAGAACAGAGATTTGCAGGATTTATGCTTTATCCATTCAACAATATAACCAAATAGTTAGATCTCCTCTGGAATGCTCTCAAAAATAAAAAAACATTTAACGTTCTAATTATTATACGTCGATGTGCTTATTCAATCACATAACCATATCATTAAACGCTTGCATTTGTTTGTTGGAGAAATCACGTCTTTTATTTGTCTACTACTTCAATCACATTATAGATTTCGATGATAAACAGTTAAAGAAAATTACTTTACACCTATAACTCCTCCTGGGGTCTCTCCGGGGCTACTGCATGTCCCAAGCCCGGATAAAGGAGGAGGGTTGTGCATGGGGTTAGCGACCCCATCCCGTAGAAAACTAACTCGCTAAAAAAACGCTAACCAGAAAAAATTATTCAAACCTTTTAAACTCTGCCCTGGGAGTCAGAAGATCTTCATTTAGAAGAATTATGACGCCTCATGATGAAAGCCGAATCCCTTCGGAAGTCACGAGCCGATGCCCCTTTTCTGACAACCAGAGCAACTATTTATTTAGGTACATGGGATGTTCGTACAATGTGGGACACCGGAAGAGCCTTCCAAATTGCTGCAGAAATGAGAAGATTCTATCTAGAGGTACTTGGGATCAGTGAAACACATTGGACACAAGTTGGACAACAACGAATAACTACAGGAGAGCTCCTGTTATACTCCGGACATGAAGAAGAAAATGCACCACATATACAAGGAATTGCATTGATGCTGTCCAAACAAGCGCAAAATGCGCTTATAGGATGGGAATCTCATGGACCAAGGATCATCAAAGCCTCGTTTAAAACAAAGAAAGAGGGCATTTCAATGAACATCATCCAATGCTATGCGCCTACCAACGACTACAATGGAGACGCCAAAGATCAATTCTACAATAGGCTGCAGTCAATCATCGAGAAGTGCTCAACAAAGGACCTGACCATTCTGATGGGAGATTTCAACGCCAAGGTTGGGACGGACAACACTGGACATGAAGACATCATGGGACGACACGGACTGGGAGAAAGAAACGAAAATGGTGAGAGATTTGCAAATCTATGTGCCTTCAGTAAACTGGTCATAGGCGGCACCATATTCCCACACAAACGCATACACAAAACCACACGAACTTCACCGGATCACTCTACACAAAACCAAATCGACCATATTTGCATCAACAAAACGTTCAGGAGGACTATAGAGGACGTGAGAACCAAGAGAGGAGCTGATATAGCATCAGATCATCACTTGCTGGTCGCCAAGATGAAGTTGAAACTCAAGAAACACTGGTCAATGGGGCGGACAATATCACAAAAGTTCAATACGGCCTTTCTTCAGGATACTAACAAACTCAACAAATTCAAGATAGTTCTCAGCAACAAGTTCCAGGCCTTTCATGATCTACTTAATGGAGAAGAAACTACTGTGGAGAGCAACTGGAAGGGGATCAAAGAGGCAATCACTTCAACATGTCATGAGGTCCTGGGTCACAAGAAGCACCATCACGAGGAACGGGTTATTAGGATAGTCGGAAAAATATACCAATATATATCGTGTTAAGTCTATGGTGGCCTTGGACCTTAAATGTACATTTCTTATTGGTCGATGTTTATTTCACTTGTTAAATATTTTGTAAATGTTGTTTCCTATTTTATGGTACGATGTGGTTTGTTTGTTTGGTATATAAATAGAGTATGTCTGAAATACAACGATTCATAACTCAGAGGCTGTGACTTGCGTTCTTGACTCAACTGGCTAGGACAGACAGCGAAGCAGAGCCAATCAGGGCACTAGGTAGTCCACTACGTGTTTACGTGTCCACTGTCACAGAAGCGATCGATAAATACGCTGCTTATCAAAACCTGCAGTCTCACACGTTACAACACGGGTCAATGTTGTTACACTGGATAAGATTGAAGAAAGGAGGAATAAGAAGGCAGCAATCAATGCCAGTCGAACAAGAGCAGAATATGCCAAGACACAAGCTGAATACACAGAAGTAAGCAAGCGTGTGAAGAGGAGCATCAGAACTGACAAACGGTAATATGTGGAAGATTTAGCTACGACGGTGGAAAAGTCTGCAAGGGAAGTAAACATGAGACAACTGTATGACACGACAAAGAAACTCTGGAAATCGCCGCAAATCAGAACGACCAGTGAAAAGCAAGGAAGGCAAGGTAATCACCAACATTGAAGAGCAAGAAAACAGGTGGGTAGAACACTTCAAAGAACTCTTGAATCGACCAGCTCCACTGAGCACACCCAACATCGAAGCAGCACCAACGGACCTACCAATCAATGTTGGCCCACCAACAATTGATGAAATCAGCGTGGCCATCAGACAAATCAAGAGTGACAAAGCAGCAGGACCGGACAACATCCCAGCAGAGGCACTAAATGCAGACATAGCGGCAACTGCAAGGATACTCCACATTCTCTTCAATAAGATTTGGGATGAGGAACAAGTACCAAAAGACTGGAAAGAAGGACTTCTGATAAAAATACCGAAGAAAGGCGATCTCAGCAAGCGTAATAACTACAGGGGCATTACTGTTCTCTCAATACCGGGAAAAGTCTTCAACCGGGTATTGTTAAACAGGATGAAGGACTGCGTAGACGCCCAACTTCGTGACCAACAGGCAGGATTCCGTAAGGATAGATCGTGTATAGACCAAATCGCAACTCTACGGATCATTGTGGAACAATCAATTAAATGGAATTCATCACTCTACATCAACTTCATTGACTACGAAAAGGCATTTGATTGCGTGGACAGAACAACACTATGGAAACTTCTTCGACACTACGGCGTGCCTCAGAAGATATTCAATATCATACAGAATTCATATAATGGATTAAACTGCAAAATCGTTCATGGAGGACAGTTGACAAAGTCGTTCGAAGTAAAGACTGTTGTCAGGCTAGGTTGCTTACTCTCACCCTTTCTCTTTCTCCTGGTGATCGACTGGTTCATGAAGACATCAACATCTGAAGAGAAGCACGGGATGCAGTGAACAACTGCGATGCAGTTGGACGATCTAGAATTCGCAGATGATCTGGCCCTTCTATCC